TGATGAATCACAGACCTGTACCCCTGAAACAAATAATACATTATATGTTAATAAATTAAAAAAAAAGAATAAAAAAGTACACTGCTGGTTCTACAAAATCTACCATAATTATAATCTATCACGTTTGGCTTTACATTGAAGATGCAGTATATGCTTAAAAAAAAAAAAGTAACCTAGTCTATGTAGGTGGATATGAAATGTCTCTAGGTATATTTAAGCTTAAAAAAAAACCCATGTACAGAACACTACACATAGCATGTTCATATTGTAAAAGTAAACAAAAAAGATTTTCTGCTCTTTCATATGTGGATATAAATGGATGTTTCGCAAAGATACAGGAGAAACAAGAACGGTAATATTTGAGGGGTACCAGAAGCCCTGGTGGCCTGGGATGGGAAAGCAATTTGCTTTTGAGTGCACTCTACTTAACAAGTAAATTTTTTACTGAATTCATTTATATTTTTCATTTTATTTTATTTTATTTTTTTAAAGATTTTATTTATTTATTTGACAGAGAGAGACACAGTGAGAGAGGGAACACAAGGAGGGGGAATGGGAGAGGGAGAAGCAGGCTTCCCGCGGAGCAGGGAGCCCGATGGGGGGCTCGATCCCAGGACTCTGGGATCATGACCTGAGCCGAAGGCAGACACTTAACGACTGAGCCACCCAGGCGCCCCTATATTTTTCATTTTAAAAAGTTCACAACAAATAAACCTATATGATATTCATTGCAAAATTGCTAGGTTTAGTTTTGCCACTTAAGGAAAAGTCTTTCTTATTCCTGAATAGACAGCCATCCACATTGAAGAAGTCCACAAAACATATAGCTACATCTCTCTCATTCTCTGGACTGTCAGTTCTCTGATGGTGGGGACTCCAGAAGGGATCTTTGCATTCCAGGCTTCCGGTTTAGTGCCTCATATATAGTGAGAGCTCATAAAAAGTGTCATGCATGAGTTATTAATCGAGACGCTAGCTGGGATTTATGAGACCAGGGTTAGAAATGCACATCTGACAGTTTTCAGTCTTTGTGTGAATCAAGTCACCAGGAGCAATGGGTAGAACATATCAAGGGTTTTCTGTCTGTTCAAACCAAAACACTTTGCTTCATATTAAGCACATAGGGCAGCCTGGATCTACTGCTATCTCCATGCTCCTCTCTTGAGTATGAATGCAGTGTGATAGAGGATGTAACTGTCTGGTGGGCCCTGTTCTGCCTGGAAGGCTTGAGATGAAGAACCAAAGATGTCAACTGAGAAAAGAGCCAGGAAAGAAACTTGGGAATCACCCACTTCTGAGAGGGCCGAGGAGAAAAGTAACCTATTAAACAGACTGAGAAGGTACAGTCTGAGACCAAATTGCAGGATACAAGATCAGTGCTCAAATACTTAGAAATCAGTTATATTTCTATGCACTAGCAATGAACAATTCTACAGAGCAATTAAAGAAATAGTTCCAGTTATAGTAGCCTTACAAAGAATAGGGGCGCCTGGGTGGCTCAGTCAGTTAAGCATCTGACTCTTGGTTTCAGCTCGGGTCCTGACCTCGTGGGTCATGAGATCGAGCCCTGTGTCAGGCTTCCCGCTTAGCAGGAAGTCTGCTTGGGGATTCGCTTCCTCTGCACCTCCTCCCACTTGCATGTGTGTGCTCTCTCTCTCTTTCTCAAATAAATAAATAAATCTTGAAAAAAAAATACTCAGGAATAAATTTAACCAAGGAGATTCAAAATTTGTACAGTGAAAACTATAAAATACTGCTGAAAGAAATTACCAAAGATAAATGGAAGTATATCTGATGTTCATGGATTGGGAGCCTGAATATTGTTAAGATAGTAATACTGCCCAAAGCAATATACGGGTTCAATGCAATCCTTGTCAAAACCCCAATGGCCTTTTTGCCAAAGTGGAAAATCTTAGAATTTATATGGTATTGCAAGAGCCCCCTAATATATTGCCAAAATGATATTGAAAAAGAACAAAATAGGAAGCAAAATACAGGATAAAGATGTTGTTTGTCAAATTTGACCAGGCTATGCTGCTATAACATGTAAACCCTGACATCTCAATGGCTTAACACCACAAAGTTTCTGTCTTGTTCTTGCGTTGTCCAAGACTGAAGCTGTGGCTCCACTGAGTGAGTCTAAGATCCATACCCTCTGACCTTGTGACACCACAATCAGAGAGTTGTTTTAGAGAGGTCAAGAGAGCACCATGACCTGTTTCCAAGGAGGACGGTGACTTGCTCCCAAGATTACAGTATGGAAAAGTAGGGAGGAGATGTAACTGTACAGATTAGAGATGCTTACAAACACTAGTCAGGTGATCAAGGTTCATATCATCAGTGATGTGTCATGTTAATAGCAAGTACCCTTGATATGATATGATAAGAATGGCACTTCAGCTCTATGGTCTTCCCTAAATCCACCACTCTAGTCCAACCATGGGAACATAAAATGAACTGAAATTGAGGTACATTCCCCCAAAAGACCTGCTACAATATTCCTCAAAACAGTCTAAGAGAGTCTAAGAAACTCACAGACCAGAGGAACCTAAGGTTACATGATGATTAAATAATGTGGTATCATAGATGGGATCCTGGAACAGAAAAAGGACAATAGGGAAAAACTCATAAAATCTGAATAAAATGTGGAGTTTAATTAATAATGTATCAATATTGGTTCATTAGTTGTGACAAAGGTACTACAGTAATATAGGGAAACTGAGTATGGAGTATATGAGTACTCTTTGTAGTATCTGTGCAACTTGGCTGGACATCTAAAACTATGCAAAAACAAAAAAGTTATTTAAATATATGAAAGGGAGAGAGCATTGTGATGGCCTGTGGCTCTTACATGCCAAGCAGGAAGTAGCATTCATCGTGTCTGCACTTACTTTGTTGGCTAGAACTAGTAACATGGCCCCACTTATTTGCAAGTAACATGGCCCCACTTATTTGTCATCTTGGAGGTAGACTACCACACCCTGTGAAAGAAGAAGAGAAAGAAAAAGGAAAGGAAGGAAGAAGATAGCTGGTGGGGAGTTCCACATATGGAGTGCACCCAGTCTGGCCAGACTGGGGGTGGGTGGCAGAAAACCAACAAACCAACCAACCACCCTGGGTCTTTTAAGAATGCAAAGACTTCTAGCCCACAGGACAACTCTGCGCCTCAAACCCCCCCTCCAACTCCTACTGCTTCAGGTGCTGGGGGGGGCATCAGCTCCTAAGAGTCTGGAATACCAGTGGTGGCTAGCCAAGCCATGATTGGCAGCAGCCAGCAGGGGCTTCTGGACCTTGGCTCCCAGTGCAACAGAAGGAGGAGGTCAATCTTGGTTTTGGAGACGACCAGCAAGACGAGGTGCCAGAAAGATGGAAAGATACAAGATGTGAACAGAAAAGCTGTCCTCTTCTCCCAAGACCCAGCACCTGGGGAACTGGCTGTGCAGGGTCAGCTGGGTGAGCACAATGTTCCCTGAGAGGGCATGTTGGTCATCCTGCAGACCTCTCACTGAGGTATGGCTACCCTAGCTGTTCCTGTTTCCTCATAGACCCGATGACAACTGTCCCATACAACTGCTGCTGCTCTTTCATCCACCAGTACCAGCAGAAGCTAAATGCTTCCTCTCCCTGCCTTATCTGCCCCTCACTCTGACCACCCAATCCCCAGCAGATCACTGAAATTGCCAAGCAATTGCAAATCAGAAATCGCACAAGGAAGAGGCAGGAAGAGAAATACTATCAGTTTCCCACCCTTTTTTGTGTGAAGGACCTAGAGCATTTGCGTCTGCAGTGCAGTCTCCCACTGGGCCCACCTTCTCCATTGAACAAGATGCCTCAAAGAAAAAGCACTATAGCCATGTAAAGGAGAAAAACGTTAAAGCTACAGAAGAGAGTCGATTAGAGGGAAAGATTAAGCTCTGGTTTTGAGCAATGGATGCTCTTATTGGAAAGTGAATGGGCTGCAGCCTAGAAAGTCATAAAGTATAAAGAATAGGATACCAGACACAAATTAAATGAAAACAGAACTTTCAGATCATGCTTTCATACTCAAATCTCTAATAAATGAGATAGCAGATTTACAATTATTAATTAATATTAAAAGTATCCACAACAGGGTGCCCATTTCGGCAGCACATATACTAAAACTGGAATGATACAGAGATTAGCATGGCCCCTGTGCAAGGATGACAGGGAAATTCGTGAAACATTCCATATCTTGTGTAGTTCCCCAGTGTCCTGCCACTCTTTGAGGATTAGCACACACACACACACACACACACACAAGCATCCACAACAGGTATTAAATGATACCAACTCCAGGGCTTTTTCATTTTAATTAAAGAATGATGATTACAGACTTTTGTCACATTATGGCTCAGAAAACATTATCAATTCAAGATAAATCTGATTCTAGATCCTAAAACAGCACAAGCTGATCTTACCGTCTTTAGGGAGAGAAAAGACATTGGGATTTCAAAAGACACCACAGAATTACAATCCCAAAATAGATCCTGTCAGGCTGGCATTACTAGGTGGAAGAGATGGAAGACGAAACCAAACAGGATATGAGTTGCTAAGAACCCCAGGAAAAGGAGGAAGATGCTGTCACAACAGGATTTAGGCTATAGAATCCAGCTACAGAACTGGGGAAGCTTTGCTGCAGTAGCTACAGTAGTTACAGGGACAATACTTTTTCTGCTAAAAGTAAAACCCAGCAGGACTAGCATTTTTCTGAACTATGAAATTGACACTGTTTAATTTTATAATTTGAATGCCTGGTCTCTTATCTGTTCAAGTGATATTTTACCAAAAGACTTGTACCTTATGTCATACTGGGTGTGATTCATAACCTCTTACAATCTGTACAAGTAATAGATTATGAACAAGGAACTATTTAAAAACTATTGTGCATTCTGCTTTAGTATCTTAATGTACCTATTTAGGAGAGAAACTACACGCTGTATAACTCAACCAGCTCATATAGTCTTTACAATTCTGAATCTGTCTTTACCACTTATAAGCGAAAGAAAGATTTTTGTGTGTGTGATTTTTTTAAGTGACATCTTTAAGGTGTGGAAAGGAAAAAACGTGTCAACTTGTTTGACTTGAATGAAAATACTTCTCAAAAGTGATAATGAAATGCTTACAAAAGTAAAACGGGCACCTGGGTGGCTCAGATGGTTAAGCATCTGCCTTCGCTCAGGTCATGATCTCCAGATCCTGGGATCAAGTCCCATATTGGGCTCCCAGCTCAGAGGGGAGTCTCCCTCTGCTTCTCCCCCTGCTTGTGCTCTCTCTGCCTCTGTATCTCTCTCAAATGAATAACTTAAAAAAAAAAAAATCTTTCAAAAAAAATAAAACTGAGAGAATTCATTGCCATTTTTTTTTTTTAAAAGATTTTATTTATTTATTTGACAGAGGCACAGCGAGAGAGGGAACACAAGTAGGGGGAGTGGGAGAGGGAGAAGCAGGCTTCCCGCCGAGCAGGGAGCCTGATGCGGGGCTCGATCC